CCCCAAAGTTTGACAACAGAATAATCGGTTCAGAAGTTTGGGAGGGAAGGATTTTAGAAGATTTTAATTTAAATTCAGTACAAATTTGTAACAGTTTTGTTGATTAAAGAAGTAAATTTTGAAGTACCCAAAAAACTTGAGTATCTAGAAAGCCTCATCCACAGAGAATACCAAGTAGGCAAGAAATTTTGGCACCAATAAAGGTGACACTCAAGTCATTTGAAAGTTGAAAATCCTCCACAGAGGGGTATAGATGGTCTGATTATTTCTTTATCATTGCTCTCAAAATTACTAGTCATCACACTATTACATTTGAGTGTGTTTTCTTGTGAGAAAGTAAGATGCATGCAAATCTGAAATCAGATACATTATAGATTAATTTACAAACAGATTATAAAAATCAAAAGTATGTTTCTCTTTCCCTGGCTGATTTTTTTCTTTAATTAAGAAAATTTTGATCTACCCACACTTTCAAGGCAAAAATCCATTACATAAAGGAAATTACACCAACATTTTATGTTATCATAAAACACCAGTGATTACCCAATTCATGAAATGGGCCTCCAATTCCAGAAGATGTCTTTTTTGGGGGGCGGGGGACGGCTTGCCAGGAACTGAACCTTTGACCTTGGTGTAAGGTGGTGCCTCTAAACAACTGAACTAACCAGCCAGCCCCGAAAGATGTCTTGAGCTTAAGAATTAGAAATTCATTTTGGGCACATCAGGATATGAGTCCAGGAGAAGGGTTATATTTTTAACATGCACAAAATTAGTATTCACAGTGCTTAAGTGCATTTTTTCATTAGGCTAGCAATTATTAGTTATCCAAACAGCTACCAAATGCACCTGGAGACTTCAGCTCTGGGTTTGTGCCTCCTTCCCTTTCTACTTACATGTGACAGAAAAGCAATTAGAAACCTCTGATTCCAACCACCCCAGCGGCAAAGCTGCACTTCTTTCTAGGAGAGATGATTGAATGTACTGCTTCTAAAATGTGATGCTGGGGGCTGTGCCCGCGGGTTCGGATCCTATATGGGGATGGCCGGTGCGCTCACTGGCTGAGCACGGTGCGGCCGGTCTCAAAAAGGACCAAAAAAAAAAAGTGATGCTGGAAACACTCACCAACGCTGAGTTTAAGCTAACAATTTTTTAAAGATGATCTTAGTAGAAAACTCAGATTTTTTAATTTTTTAAAATTATTTATTATTTTAAATTTTTTTTATTACTTTAATTTTTTTTTACTAAAAAATAACCTCATCTTTGTTATCAACTTCCATTAAGTTTGGCTTCAGTACTTAATAATTTTGGAGTCTTGCTAGAAGAATCGACAATGTGCCTTATTTTGTGTTCATTTCTTTTGATTGACTATAGAATCTTTTTCAACTCCAATCTTAAATATTTGGCACAAACACATTAAATCTGACTCCATATCCTCCTCAAAAACATTTACTTTCAATATTTTTAGCTCAAAAAGTTCAAAGTAAAAATTATATAGATCTCAGAGAACATCCAGAAAACTACTTTAATTCACATCATATTTCCCTTACCAAATAAAAATTGAAAGGAAAAAAAAAATGGACATTATATAATAGGTTAAAGAAATAACTGCAATTAAAATTTTTTAAGAATGAAATTAAATTACAAAAATAAAGTTAATTTTAGTAGATAAGTCTGGTATCATTTAGTTCCAATTGACCATTAAGTATTGACAAAATGGAACTATAGAGTCAAATGACAAAAATCTGTGAAACAGACAATTAAATTGAAAGAGAAAATCTGAAGGCAGCCCCTTTTCAACCTACTTACCATCCTAATTTTCTACGATTTTATATAAAACTGTGAAATGATATAAACTAGGCAAACTGACATCAAATCAAGACATCTATACACTCTGAAGACCTATTAAAGTATTCCAGATAATATATAAATCTAAATGGACTGCAGATAGAAGTGTTGCAGGTTGCTGATAAGATTTTTTACACTGGCATACTATATTGGAAAAAATCACTGAATATGCTATTTTCAAATTGTTACTTATTATGACTCAATATTCTAGAAATTCATGTGATTTCATAGAGAAAATGATGACCCTTAATTTAGGAAATTACCATGTCAAAGATTGTAGCTATTAAAGGAGCACAGCTTTGTTTTGATGCTTATGTATTTCTGTGATGTTTTTATCAGGCATTGTTATTTTTAGCTATTCTATTAAGGTTTTATAAAATATCTGGGAGGGAGTAGAAAAAGGGAAAGAAAGGTTAACAAATAGGTTAAGTATGTGATGGGAGCAGAGGTGGATTTATTTCAAATTAGAAAAGGATAATTTTAGCCACAATGTCACAGCACAATAACAAATGAAAGCTAACAAACCAGATGAGATACAGGGAGAGCAAATGATTATTTTATTTATGAAAGTTGCCTTCAAGAAATTTTCACTGTTTTAGAAGACAATCTTATCTTCTGTACAGGAAAGAACACAGACTTTGGAGTCTGACAGACCTGGGTTGAATTTCCAGCTCACCTATTTTAATAAATATGTGTACCCAGGAAAATTAGGTAAGCTTGCAGTCTCAGTTTCCTCATTTGCTGATGGATTATTTTAATAATTAACTTTTAAAACGAATATACATCACATACTACAGTGCCTGGAATACAGAAGGTACTCCTATCCCCTAACCTTTCTTCACAGTATTTGACCATAACATGTTGCTTTTAATTGATTTTTTTAAATGTTTCTATATTATCTAATGTTTATGTCCTTTTAGAATGGATCTTTTAAATTTTTCTAGATTTATCAAATGTTTATATAATGTTGTCTTTAATATTTTCAGAATTATCCAGTTTTATCTGTACTCGAACCTTTTATAAGAATTAACCTGTTGGGCCAGCCCCATGGCTCACTCAGGAGAGTGCGGCACTGGGAGTGCTGAGGCCGCGGGTTCGGATCCTATATAGGGATGGCTGGTGCGCTCACTGGCTGAGTGTGGTGCAGACCACACCATGTTGAGGGTTGCGATCCCCTTACCGGTTTAAAAAAAAAAAAAAAAGCATTAACCTGTCACCTAAATCAAATGGCCTGTATGTTGTCCCAACATTGAGGGTTGCGATCCCCTTACCGGTTTAAAAAAAAAAAAAAAGCATTAACCTGTCACCTAAATCAAATGGCCTGTATGTTGTCCCAACAAATTCAGAAATAATCAAGGTCTTGTAATACCTTCTGGAAAACAGGCCAATCTGTTAACTCTATTTTCATAAGGAATCCTGAAGAATAACCCAAGAGAGACCATCTGAAAAAATACGAATATGTAAACTACCTTGAAAGACAAAATATTACAATTAGAACAACTTGGACTGTGCAATATCCCACAAGTCAGTGTTGAGTATTTTTGAACTCACTTTGCATTTGCGGGACTGCAAGTGGTCAGGTTGGCCAGGGCTAGAGCTGCAGCTTCTCTTACCTCCTCATTGTCACTTTTTAGCAACTGAACTAACTGTGGAATCCCTACAGAAAAACAAAGACAAAATGCTACTTTAAAAACAGCCAGGTACACTAGAATATGACAACCTAAAAATGTTCAAAATGTTTGTTTCCAGTTTGCTTACCCTGATTATTGAAAAAATCTTTGCTGCCTGAATTCTCACACATTGCTGAAATCGCTTGGGAAGCAGCGATTTTAGTTCCATCATTTTCAGATCCCAAAAGGGTTACAAGGCACTTTTCAACCTCTTGTTCATGAAAAAGTTTTCTATTTTCAGCTTTCATAAACCAAAAGAAAAAAACAATTCAGAAGTTTGCTGCAAAAACTGTGCAAGTATTACTACTTACCCATCCAAAGTATGACAGGAATTCAAACCATTTGCTAGCTTTAAGTACCAGACTCTAAACTAAACAAAATATATAATTATTTAACCTTTCAAACACAGTGATTATGCAAAATGAATCATGGATGTTGCATTTTTTCCCTATTCCTTTATATATCAACATTATGGCAAAGAAAATTCCATAGTAAGAAAGAGGCAAGTTTCCAAATTCAGCATGCACTTATTTAACACCAATTATGGGCCTGGAATGGTGCTCAGTGCTCACACAGGTTATCTTTTTACTAGGGACAAAAACCTGCTTATTTGATGGTTATTTTAAATACAAAACCCAATATTTGAAGGATGCCTAAGATGTGCAAACTAGTGAGCTTTATGCTCAAGACTTCAGGAGAAGAACAGAGGAGAGGAAAAAGTAAAAAATGAGTAATAAAGTTATGATCCCGAGTCTCAAAGAACTTATATCAAAAAATCATAATCATCTTTTATCTCAAATCACAATAATGCTTAAGTAGCAAAAATTAAAATAATTATGTAATTGATGAGTTGCCATAAACATAATCTAAAAATATCTTAGGATAGTTTTCTTTACTTGAAAATGAATAAAGTTATGACTCTAAGTACATATCACAATATTTGCCCCATTATAGATCACTAAATTGGAAACCAAGGTATTTTTAATGTTCTTTTGCTACCTAAACATTTTTTCTCTTGATTTAGCTTGATTTCTTATAAATGACAATCTCACTATTATACTAAAGTAAATATTGCATTAAACTAAATTAGAACATTTAAACCTAATTTTTTGTTTTGTGTACTATTAATTCTAAACAAGTTTTTATTTTGTGTTCTAGTTAATTTTAAATAGGTTCTATTTACTAAAATAGATGTAATATGTACTCTCTTAGAATGTTAATATATAAGAAAAGAATATTCTGTTAGAATAAGAATCTCTGCAAAAAATGCTCACAGTAATTCAGATTACAACATCTACGTGTGGAACTAGTATATTACTTATACATATTTTAATTTATATTTCTTTTCCAGAAATATTTTCAGAAATTAACAGCAACTAGGTTTCCATTTTAAAGTTATGACATGCAGACTGATTGGTTAACTCAGTTGGTTAGAGCACAGTTTTGTAACCCCAAGGTCAAGCGTTTGGATCCTTGTACTGGCTAGCTGCCAAAAAAAAAAAAAAAAAAAAAAAAGGATAACGTTAAGATATGATGTCTCTCTTCCTTTGAACAATAATTCAAAAAAATTGCCCTTTTTCACCAAAGCAGTATCGCATTCAGATGGCACCACAGTTGCAAATAGTTTTGGCCTTTGCTCATCTGATACACAGCTGTACACCAAACAATCTGGCCATAACCGGCAGAGGCTAAGTTACTGACACTTCTGCTCATTAATCTTAAACCGATCGTGAACCACATATTCTGTAATCCTATCATTTTATTTAACATTAGAATTCAGGTAGGCCATAACTGTTTCATAAAAAAGCTGCAGTTAATTCTTAAATTTCAAGTACGTGGCTCCTAAAATATATGTAGTCCTTATTAGTTTTCATGGAGTAAATAATATCTGAAACTTTTCTAGAATCTCTGACCTAAAATGCTTAGATTTATCATCAAGACTTCCCTCATGACTCTAAATCAAATTTCCTAAACAGAACATTTCTAGGGTTGATTCTATCAGGAAAATCGGCCAAAATAATTAATTCAGAAAGACTTACTTTAGAGTATGTAATTATTGCATTCAAAAAACAGTACTATGCAATTATTGGAAAGATTTTTCAAAAATAATTTAAATGAATACTGTGGCAATTAGTTTCTCAACCCTGCTGAGAGTGTTCTCAAAATCCAGCTGTGTTCACCAAACCTCAAAAGTGCTGAATGCAGCGTGGTGGCTGTAATAGATTTAAAAGATGTATTAACATATTAACCAAGTACTTTCATTGAATTGCTACACCAAGAAGTAAAGTATCTGTGTTTTAATTACGCAGATAATAAAGATGGCAAGATAATTATGCTACTAATAGAGCACTGTCTTTAAAAATAACATCTGTTCACTATTACTAAAATAAAAAGCATGAGGTTTTGTTACTGAAAATAAATCTGTACGTAATGACACTTTCCTTTGCCATTCTCAGAAGTTGTTCTTGTGCCACCTTTGCTCCTGCTGAGATGTTAACACCAGCTCATAAACCTCATGGCAACATGGTAATTAACACCTTCCTCCTACTGGTACCAAGTCAATGCACACTGAGTTGTGCCTTCCACCATGGGGATGCATGTTAAAACTTTACTCAACAAACAAAACTTAAGGGATGTGCATTAAGTGTTTGTGTGTTTCAACTGTGTTTTTGACATACAAGCACCTGGTCTAAAAAAAAAATTCTTATGATGATGAAAAGTGATGAGGTAAAGTAAAAAAAAAAAAGTTATAAATTAATACTGATAGTTACATTGTTCTTAATAGCAGTATAAGGAGGAACATTTGTCAAACCTTCTTACGAATGCAGTTGTCTAACTGTGGGAAATTTTTAAAACTTCTTCACGATTATTTACTTTCAATATAGAAATATTAGGAGATGACTTTGTTAATCCATGCTAAATTGTTAGAGTTTACCACTGTAACTAATATAAAATAAGACATGTTTAGTTAAGCTGGCTGGGTTTGGCAGATAGAGGTCAAGGCACCAAGAGTTGATACAAAAAAAAAGTAGACAAGAAATACAGGTAGACCTGAAAAGAAGGCTCAATCTAGAATCCAGGCAAGGGAGAAAGAGGTGGAAGAGTGGATCTGGCCAGGTAAACAGAGTTAAGAGGTAAATAAATCAACAAAAATAGAAGAGAATAATCAGGCAAGTGAGGAACCTATCCCCTAGCACTGGTCCTAGGAATGCTGTTCCACACTAGAATTGCGCTCTGGTTAGAACTAGGCAGTTCTGCCCACAGATGGTATAGCTAAGACAGTTTAGAGTCCTTAAGGGAATTCTGCTTCTGGATAAGCTTGGAATGGAGAGATTTCCTCAAAGTCCTGTGCTTCCAATCAGAAGAGCATTCACTCTTCAGGATTTATTGGGATATGTAGACAGAGAGAAAGCTTTAATCTTTGTGGAATCATATCTTTCTAGAGGCTCCAAGAATCAAGAATTAAGCTTTCAGATCAGATATCTCCTGTCCAAGGCTCTAAGAAAAGTAAACTACCTCTGCATCCATTGGATTTAAAGATCCATTGGACATACTTTTTCAGAGTTTGTATAGTCGCCAAAGGTGGAAACAGTTTAGGAAGGAAGGAAACTATGTCAGAAAGAATGGAGGAAAGTTACCAGTTAAATAAGTTGAATTATAAAATATAAGCTTTTACAGTAATACATGAAACCTGCAAGACTATGGTGAAAGAGCTCTTCTGTAATACAGATGGGCAGTTGGTTGAGTGATGTTAGGGAGGATGTAAATCTCTCCCATCTGGAAAATGGAGGTTCTGCTGAGCAATGGAAGTTAACTGCTGTGATTACTTGGTATTCCAAAGTAGCAGGGTCAGATGACTTTGGTTCACGTTAGTTAGTTTAGGTTGTTGCTTTTATCTACCATAGCAGGGAAAGATGAAGGTCTTGGTGTGAGGAAACTCATAGCATATTTGCATATTTAAAGCACAGTTGGCTATACTAGGTTAAAGCAGGAAAAAGTACATTTTATAATTTCTAAGAACAGAAAGAGAAACCAGTTATTTTATGACACCTTGAAAAGCAATGGACTTAGAAATTTGATTTTCCCTCTAAATCTAGCCATTTGAAGCACACAGATACTGATAGGTCAAAACAGGATTTCAAAATCAAATTCCAGACCAAGGGCCTAAACCAGAGCAAATGAGCACAAAAGTATGGTCTGGCATAAGTTATATACTCCAGAACACAACAGAGAGTGTCTTAGCAAGAACAAATTGATAACCAATGACCATGTGATTGCGTAAAGTGGAAGAATTGCCAATGCCAAGTGAGGGGATCTGGACTTCTTCCTCTTTATCATTCTGATACAGAGTTATTAGCTTGGGGCCCATGGATCAAGAAGACATGGATGAGCTTCAGGTAGTCCATGAATTCCCTGAAATTATATGCAGAAAGTTATCATTCTGATACAGAGTTATTAGCTTGGGGCCCATGGATCCAGAAGACATGGATGAGCTTCAGGTAGTCCATGAATTCCCTGAAATTATATGCAGAAAGTTATGCATATGTACATTTTGGTAATGTTACCACTTAATCAGATTTTCAAAGAAACTATAGACTCCTCAAAAGTTGAGTTTGAGCAATGTAGTTGGATATGCTTGGAAGCTGTCAGAAATACAGGCAGGAATTCAGAAGGCAGGTCAGAATTAGAAACAGATTTGGGATTCAAAAGCAGATAAGGAGGCAGCTGAAACAGTCATATGTGAGCTTGCTCAGAGAGATCTGAAAGAAAACAAGACAGAGGACAGGAAGACAAGTTTAATGATAAGCAGAGGAGAGGAAGCTGGTAAAAGTGAAGGGTTGGTCTGATAAAGAGAATAATCAGGAAAGAGGGTGGTGTTATAGAAACCAAGGGATAAAAAGAGTTTTAAGGAGGAGGACGGCACACAGAGATCAAGTTAAAAAGACTGAAAATGTGTCTGTAGAATTTGGCAGTGGGGAGATCAACATCAAATTCTACAAGGACTGTTTTGGCAGGACGGAGGAAGCAGAGGTCACATGCAGTAGGTTAAGTGATGGAGATGAAGAGGTAGGGTTATTGAAGATTGACTAGTCTGTCAAAGAGGTTGATTGAGAAGAAAAGGAGAAAAAGAGGTCTCTGGGGCAAGGGCAAGAGAGGAAGAAACAAGTTTCCATAAACCGCCCCTGGTCACACAAACAATTATGGGCCTCTCAGAATGCTCCAAACTTACATCGATTTCCT